AGAGTAGACTCTCTGGAGCCAAAGGTTCAAAAATCTGACAGATAGAACTCAGCTCTTAATCTTTTCTGTGGTACATAAATGTGATGAAGACCGTATTTCCTCTGGTGCTCATCTCCCCTCCTATCCTAACAAGAAGACAAGAAATGGCTTTGAAAGATACATCCACTTGCTTCCTTTAATATTGTCCTTTAGGCCCTGTCAAGAGAGGTTCATGTCCTGTCCCCAAGCTTTAGGTAACTCTGCTCTGGCCCTGGTCTAGTTATTTCTGAATCCATGGAGTAAGGAGTTTATGGGGCCAAGGGAACATCCCCACCTGATTCCTGTTCCCTCAACCACCTTCAAGGCCACACTCCATGTATCAGACCTCAGAACTTCCTGATATTATAGCCCTGAGACCACTCCCAGGCCCTGTATGGCCATTTCTCTCAGGTCATTCACCTAAAAAAGAAGGCAGGCTACCACAGCGTGCAACTCTGGCCTGAAAGCAGTAGTTTATGGGAATGTACATGGAGTTTGGATATGCAGGCTGGGGGTGAGCTTGACACCTTTCCATGTGTAGGACAGAACTAAGGGTGGGAAGAAAAGGAAGGCAGGGTATGCAGTGTGACCACCTTTCCCTGCACTGACACACTTAGCCTGGAAATCCAAGGAATCTAGGAATTCTGAACTTTCAGCTCTTCATGTAGAATAGAATAAATTTTATTTAATGTCTATTAATTTAATATGAAACTTTACATATTTAGACACATAGTATATAAGGCTCCATTGGTACTCTTGCTCCAGGCCCAGTTTCATGCATCCCTTAAAGAAACTGGAGATTACCCTGTGCTTAGAATTTTCAAGGTATTCTTTGTCAAGTTTCAAATGAAAGAACTGTCTGAAGTTTTGGGAAAGCAACCAATCAACATAAGATTATAAATATTTATCTAAAAACCTTTATAAAATTCATTTGTCATTTTGTTCTCAGTTATTTTCTATTTTTAAAATTCCTTATGTTAAATACATTTATTTTGTGAAATAGGACTGCAAAAGCCTATCCATTTGAAAAGTCTGTAAAAGTTTTTCAGAAAAATTAGGCATTTTCCTCACTATCCTTAGAGTTGAATTCTCAAAGAAAAAAAAAATTGAAAATACTATGGCTAATGTCACAATTCCTGACACATTCCTCAACAGCTGACTCAAAATATTATTGTCTGTCAGACATCAGTAAATACACTCAATAAATATCTACTATCACCTACTATATGCCAGATTTTGGGCAATCAAAGATGGATAAAACCAGTAGATAAGATGGAACTCAATATTAATTGGAGGAGATTGACAAGTAAACAAGCAATGACCATGTTTGATAAACGTTATGAAACTATTAGCAAAACACAGGAGGCACATCAAGCCCCATCTTGGAATGCAGGAAGGTTTCCCAAAGAGATATCAGCCAAGCTGAGTGCTGAAATGAGCTGAATAGTTTATGCAGCAAAGAAGGCAATTAAACATATCTAATCGGAAGACTTCTAAATTTCATCAATGACATACAAAAAAGAGACAGAGGGGAACTAATATTTTTTTGACTGCCAGGCACTGTGAAAGTGCTTTGCATGTATTAAATAACTGACCTTCAGAGTCATAGGGCAAAAAAAGGTTTTATTCAGCCCATTTTATTGAGGAGAAAACAAAGTAAGTTGCTCCCAGTCATGGACCAGACAGTGGCAGACTGAATTCAAACCCAATATTCCTGCCATTACTTCAAGCCTCACTAAATTGAAAAACCAAATTTTGCCCCATTTGTTCCAGCCAAGAAGCTTAGATTTCCTTTGGAAGAAGCAGAGACGTATATTAACAAAGTGCACTTTGGTTTTAAAGACATGTCTCTAATGAGAGCATGCCAGAATGGGACTGGAATGGCAGACGGAGGGGCTGAAACTTGTAGTTGCAATTTCCATGTTCTTGATCAGTGGTTGTTGGTCACTGTTCATGTGCTTTATAGCAAATGGTTCTTTCTCTGTTATTTAAGATCACTCAATATTTTCATTCAAACTGACCCACTTTATCTCAAACCACCAAAAGTAAGGCCAAGGTGTCCTCCCTGCCTCTTTGAAAGGCCACATGTTAGAGCCTATATATGTAATCTGACCTTAGACTCATAGAACTGGTTTCTTTCTTTACTGGTCACCATCTCAGTATAAAAGTATACTTAGTAATAGAGGCCAAATTGTCAGAGAACTCACGTTCTGATTAGAGAAAGACGATGAGAAGGCTTTTTGTGTGTTGATTTCATAAAGAAATGTATTTCTGGTAGCATTAAACAATTTGGGGATACATTTATGGTCCAAGTGCTTCTCAGATGCATTCTTTATCCCTTTAACTCTGTAGAAGCAGAGACTATAGAGTTTTAAGGAGTTGTTTCACCACGGTTCATACCTGGGACTTGGGATGGGGATGTGCTTATAAGAAAGGCTGCTTACATTCTTACTCAACAGCTCTGATTTTGGGGAAGATGACTGCATTGCAAAATTTAAATATTTTCAAGATTAGTTAAGCTGAGTAAGGATATCAATTTACCATAAAAGAAAACTTGTAGAAATGTTAACCTAAAAATTGATGGCTCTGTAGTTATTTGTGTGGGAAACAGATTTATACAAAAGCATTAGTCTATAAATAGTAATTGAATACTCTTATCATAAAATCTAATCTTTAATAGTAATTGAATATTCTTACTATAAAATCTAATCTTTAATCTGAAAATAGTGTGACAATTAGGTAACAGTAGTTTTTATACAAACTAGAGGTTTATCCCATGAATAAAGAAAAGAGCCGAAATTCTAACCAACAACCTCCTGGAAAGACTACCTAGAGTCGGGAGAGAACTTCTTCCAACTCTGAAGAACTTCAGAAGCTGCTAAAGTTATATGTTGAAGAAATTTAGCAATTGTTAAACTGTATGAGTTGTGTTGGGCAAAATATGAGACGAGGAAGATCCCATACATTCACAAATGGGGTAAGTTCTCCTTCTGTCAAAATACTCCATTACCAATAAGCTTGTATTATATACAAGTAAAAGTTCCATTTTAAACTTGGGCACTAAATGTTCCTTTTTGAAATTGCATTTCTTGGCCTCTCTGCAGACATTTGGTAACATCAGTGACTTTTTTGACATTTATTCCTTAAATGATCTTGACCATTTAAAACCAAGACTGGCATTCCCTTATCACACATCATGCCCTAAATGAATTATGCTCACTTAACCAGTATATATTCAAATACTGTGCTCAGGGAATGTAAATCAATAGCAGTCTAAGTAAAACATCACCAGAAGGGAAAAAGTAGAATGCAACAAAGTAATATAAAATCCAAAGAGAAATTGTATTAAATTATCTATCACACAGACATCCTCCAGGCACTTCAATAATCCCTAAATTTGTCATCCAGTGACTCGATTATTTAATCAGCCTCTAAATGGTGAATGTTAAGTACACAGTAGGTAGTCAATAAATAGTTGAGTTGTTTTAGAATAAAGATAATTATGTGGAATTTTTAAGTAAGCTCTCATATTTGGGATTCAATTTGTAACTGTTCCTCAGAAAAGATATGACCAGTACGAAAGCTGGGAAAATAGTCTACCTGCCTACTGACTGAGCTTATCAGTTTTTTAAATCCTTTAGAAACCTAAACTTACGCAATTTGATTTTCTTGTCATTTCTTTCCCTATACTACCAAAACTGATGCTTTCTTTACTATTTCAAACCCATCATGAAATTGCTAAACATCTAAAATTCAATTTGCCACATTACTGCTAATTTGAATAATGGCTGAATAAAACACAGGAAACGCTGAAACAGCATTGATTTCTAAAACATTTTGCACTTTCCTCCTCCATCCCTGTAAAGTAAAGCTTGGATGCCACGCACAATTACACAAGAAAATCAAGAAAGCCATTACATTCAGCATTTTGTCATGATCATTGTTACCATGGCAAAAAGTGGGCTTAGCTTAGCACAGCTGCCACAGGCGAGGTCCACTGGCCTTTTGTAAAGCTGAGTAACAATATAATGCCAAATTCTGTAGCTGGTCACCGGTTTTACCCTAGGACAAGACTATTACCCACAGACACTACTGTCTCCTTCCTTAAGGATCTGAGCCAATGTCATTTTATTATTGTATTCTTACTGTTGGCCAGCAGTCAAGGAACATAGATAATCTAGGAAGTTTACCACCTGACACACTTCCTGTTCTAAGGGGGAAAAACAATGTGTTGTGTGAACACTTGAGACCACAATAATAGAAAAATCCAAAGTTTCGATGGTTGCAAATGACAATTTCGATATTGCAAATGACAATAGGGTTGTGTTGGAAATCACACAGATTTGGGAGTGAGAGAGAAATGCAGACCCACGATAACTAGCTCTACAGCATAAGCTTGGTTATCTGTAAAATGCGGACAAAAGTAACTTCCCAGGCATGTGTAGATAATCAATAAAATCAGGCCCTCCCACTCCTTTCTTAATGCTGAGATTTCCATGTCTTCCGGAACATTAAGACAAGTTGGTAGGTAAACTATTCTCTGTTGTTGGAAGCTATACTATTTCCATCTTTCACATCATTTGGATACTTTCCTCAGAGAGCTAAGGATAAGTTATTTTAAGGTCTGACAGTAAGCATAAATTTCATAGCAAAAGGATAAAAGTTCAGTGTCAATACTGTAATATACACCACATCTTATTATCCATATTTTAAGTGACGCCAATATTATCATTGTAAAATGAATGAAAAATGGAATATATACTAATTTCGACCTTATGCAGAGATTTTTAGTTTTAAAAAAATGAAGCAACACTATGAAAACGGAGAAGTTTAAATGATCTGAAATAAATACATTAATCAAAACTCTGTATTTACTACAAACAAAGACTACTAGCATTTTTACCAGCTAAACAAAATATTTTTTTCTAATGAGATTTCAGCTGAGTATCGTTTATCTTAAGAGCAAAATAATGGGTCCTTACCTATTCCAGTAGCTCCAAAACTGGTCATGCAGGTAGGCGTGGTGGCTACATTCATCACCAAATGAGGCTTTGCTTTCAATCCAGTGAATTATGTGTCCTTCTACAGCTAAGGGACAAAGCATTACTAATATACGGAGAAGGGAAGGGAAGATTGAAAATTCTGAACTCTGCACGGGCCGCTCTATGCTTCACATTAATGAGCACAGGCTTAGTTTTTACCATCATCTATAAATGTAATTACAAAACACACTGTATATGTTCATTACAAAGAACATTTATGTGACAATCATATCCCTTTGATTTTCATTATATTCTTCAAAACTCCCTTTTCTAGTTCTCAGACTGCCTGTATAACTCAACAAGTGACATGTCAACCAGACCAAAATGAGTCTGGCTTTTCAACAGACCTATGTTTAAGGAATTTGAAATTTAGAGAAATACGTTGAAAATGACAACCAAAATATCTTTAGAAAACATGTTTTCCCAATATATGTAAAAGATTTTAAGACAGAATTCCTTTGAACCTAACATTTTCTGCCTTTTAAAAATATTTTCTACCTATTCACCCATTTACAGTATTATAAAGCTGATATTAACATAAAAAATTAAAAATTACACCCCTTTTCTCTAAAAACAAATACATAACAGAGTTGAAGAACTTACCAACTGGTACTTGTAAAATAAAGTCTGGTGTTTTGTCATAACCCTTTGCACGGAGCTGATCTTCATCTACAAGAAGAACAAAGGCAATTTACTTAAAACACTATTCAATTAACAAGACAGGAATATATTTGTTTTTATTTCTTAACTATGTATAAAAATTACTACCGCAGTCATACATATCTTCCTTATGCATGCAGTGCTGTGTCAGAATAAATGAACTTCCTTAACAACCCTGAAGTGTAAATATGCTTCAGATATGCATCTTTATTTTTTCTGCATTTTTGTTATTACAAACATCACTAATTCAAGGTGTCATACACTACCTTTTTTGTAATTGAAAATACGCCGAAAAAGTAATATGCTTACTGATTTTTTTTTTAAAGGCTTTCACTACTGTGAAAATTACAAATGTTATCGGCCAATATTGACAATTTTATAGCAAAGGCGGAAGCACAGTGGCCTTTGCAATTATGGAAAAATGCTTTCAATAAAAAAATTAAGGAAGAAACTATTCCTACACACCAGAAAGGAACAAGGACAATGAGATCACCATAAAGAATGAGTTATCCTGCTTAATTCCTTTGATAGCTATTGTTTCTGGCATTTACCTGAGTTTTATAACAATATATAATTCTGAAAAGCAAACAGGCTTTAAGATTTTTTTTTTCTAAGTCTGTTTGATTTCTTGGTCTCCTGTAAATATCAATGATCTATTCAGAAGGAAAGAAGGCAGGAACACAGGAAGCTGGACAAAGTTGGAAAAAACTAGCAAGGTGCTTGTTTAAAAAAAAAAAAAAACCTCCAATATTTTCTAAATGCTGTCCTTGACTTCTAATGGCATTACAATGTGATTTCTGAAATGGGGAGTTCTCCATTAGATTTTGGAGTGACCTGGTCATTCAATTCCAGACATGGCTTTATGTCTTCACCCAACCTCAACTAATGGCCCAACCAAGTAACAAGGAAGGCTGTGTGGTCTCTTAACACCTACTGGGCTGTTGACATTGTCATGCATCCCATTCGCCTTCCTGCATCACCTTTGATTAAAATTAATGGCCCATTCCCAGTGTTGGGTAGCTTATTTCCAATCCATTTGTCAGCCCAAGACAGTGGTTTCATGGCCAATGTTCAGAAACTCTGTTTTAGAACACTGTTGTGCACATCTTGAAAGGTCAGCATTTTAAATGTAAATAACCTTTTAATGACAAGACACATATTTAAAGTAGACATTTAAGTTAAATCTTGTTAAAAGTCAATATCCTTAAACTGTCTAGATTTTCAAGGACTGGTGCCACTATTCAAACCAATCTCCCCTCCTTAAAATATAAGAAACCTCAAGTTAACTATCAAGTTAACGAAATACAAATTAAAATAATACAACTTTAAAAACAAGAGAATTTGGAAAGTGGGCTGTAGATGAACAAGACTGGACAAGTTTCTGTCCTCTAACTATACTCTGACCACAATGAGAATATTTAATAGAAAAGGCATTTATTAAAAAATCAACTCCAGTGCCTTGAGCTGATGTTTCAGTTAGCTGATGAACAGTTTTAAAAGCTATGGTGACATTAAAAAAGATAGATTAATATTTCATTAAAACTATCCTAGCTTCATCAACCTTAGCAGATGTTAAAATCTGTTTCAGAAAGAAAAATGATTAGGTTTTTGATAACAGTACAAAACAAAATTGGAAAGGTCACCAAGCAATCCAAATGTACTCATTAAAATCCCTTTAAAAGACAGATGCTGCACTCCTGTTCACGGCACCAAAATTACTAGCATCATATCTGTGATTTAAACTACATGGCTCACTTAATATGAAGATTAAAAATCCCAAACCCCCAAACCTGAACATAAAACACAAAGTGTGGCTGGGGACACTTCCCATCTTTTTGTGGTAAACTTCAATGAACTACAACTGGCTCATTCTCTGTTTTTCTCTCTCTCACATACACACACCCCTGTCTCTCTTTTTCCTTCCCTCTCACTCTTTCTCTCTCAACAAGAAGCTGATTCAATAATAACTGTACCCAAAGGATAGCATTTGGAAGTCTGTGTCACCAGCAGTGATATTTGACTTCTATTTTTTAGAATAAAGAGGTTATCCCAAACATCTGAAATACTATGTATTGGGCATCTTCTCCTTCCTTTAATTTATTTACTAAACTCTCATTGCACTATCTCCTGTTTCAACCATTGGCTTGCTTCCTTCATCCTAGATCTAAGAAAGAATGAGGTAACAACTTGGCAAAGTTAAGAAGAAATGATGGTACCAGGGTAGGAAGCAGCATTTAGGAGTGAGTGATGTTATTCACCTGTTCTAAGCCCCGGAACACTTAATGTCCCCAAAAGATAATTGAGTAAAATACACGTGCATGTTTAACAGTATCCACGCCTTTACAAAGCCTATCTGGATTGACAATAATTTTCTTTCTTAATTTAATTCCCTACATATCAACAAGGCCCAAAGGCACCAAATAGGCTCAAAGTTCAAGGTTTTATGGGATTAACTCTCATTGTTATCTTTCATCCTTGGTCCCCAATGTCTGTTCTACATGTTCATCTGAGGTTCACCTCAATTGTAATTGTAAAAAAGACAGCATCTCTTTCCTTAGTACTGATGTGAAAATTCTTCTCTGATGTCAAGTTTTTTTAAGATGAAGTCTCGCTCTGTTGCCCAGGCTAGAGTGCAGTGGCACGGTCTCAGCTCACTGGGTGGATGGTGGAAACCTCCATCTCCTGGGTTCAAGCAATTCTTCTGCCTCAGCCTTCCAAGTAGCTGGGATTACAGGCACATACCACCATCCATGGCTAATTTTTGTATTTTTAGTACAGACCGGGTTTCCCCAAGTTGGCCAAGCTGGTCTTGAAATTCTGACCTCAAATGATCCGCCTGCCTTGGCTTCCCAAATTGCTGGGATTACAGGCGTGAACCACCATGTCTGGCCTCAATTATTTTAAATAACACTGGAACTATCCACTCCATAACATTTTAGTAGAATTCCCCCCACAAAACCCATCTGTGCCTGGTCCCATTGTTGGGCAACTCTTTTTTCTTTAGCTACTGATCTGTTGATATGTATTATTTATCTCTTTTATAGTCTGTTTTACAATTTATGTTTTTCTTATAATACTTTGCATATATTTGAGCCAAGTAGTTACTTATGATTCTTTGAATTTTCTAAGTGGAAACTAGATGTTTAAGTAACATACACTGTTTCTTCAAGTTTCACTGTTTCTTCAACAGTGATATAAGCTGTTTTCTTCAAGAAAAAAATGATAAAGATTAAAAACAAAATAATAATAATATTAATTAGAATGAAAAAAAGGTAATGGCAATAATATGAAATAGTACTTTTAGTATGCCTTCCCCAAATGGTTGGGAGTCAATATGAAACCAATCTTCAAATCCTGCCTATGTGTCTTACTCAGTGAATATAGCAGATACAAAGCAAGGGTCTTCTGGTTTCAGGTATACATTGAAAAACCCAATATATTTCATAACCATTAAGTTAATGTCATAGTTGAAGTATTCATTTTCAAAAATAATATAGGAATGTTAGCACTTAAAAGCAGATCTGTTAACCTTCAAATTCACAAAACACAGATATTTAGATAATGGGTACCTCGGAAACATTTCTGAACTAGTAAAATTGTAGAGATTACTAGTCCAGCATTCCAATTTATACACAATATAACTGGCCTAGAGAAGTTAAATGGCCTATCAAGACCTAGATCTCTCAAATCACTTCGGATACAGGATAAGTGCCATGTCAACCAAGTTCCAGTTGGTCCCAGCAGACCATATGCCATTCTTAATTATGCAAATATTTAAATTTGATCGAATGTAATATTTACAAAGTGGGGGAAAATTTATTTTTCTCTTGGAAGATCTTGAAATATAGGACAGGTGGACTGCCATTTGTGAGATATTTAGCTAACACCTGCCTGAAAAGGAGATGAACTAGATAGCATCTTGTTTGCTAGCACGTCAATGGTCTTCTCTCCAATTTATCTTAAATAAACCAATAAAACCACATCCAAAAATGATGTTAATTTTTAAAAACAATCCTGGTCTTCATTTATTTTGAAGTTGTTAAGGCTGTTTTTAGAGGGCATTTTTAAAAAAGAAATTACACAGGCATAAAGAACATTCTGAAAGTTTAATTTCTCTGGCCTTTGAATTACCCTCTTCTCCAAATACCCAAAATATCCAAAGCAATTAAGTACTAATTACACAATTTCTTTTCTTAAAATAAAAGGCTGACTTTGAGTCAGCAAACAAAACACATCTGAAACTAGTTAACATATTCTTCAGAATCACAGGAGGCGGCACGATGACTACCAAGAAAAGGTTTCAGAGCTTTGGGTTTGTTTAAGTTTTATATTTTAAAAGTATAGTCATTTCCATAAAAGTCATGCAGAACTCCAGTTCACAACATCTGAAAATAAAAAGTCACATTCTGACATGCCGTTTATCTATGAATCTGTAAAAAGTTTTCTAAAATGCTAGATTAAAATACACTGTATGGTAAGAATCTTCTTAATACCTAGTGCATCTTTACTAAATTGGGGGAGGGCAAAAAAGACATGTATCAATACATATTAAAATTATAGTGTATCTTTTCTACTCTAGTAACTAATTTTGTTTTACTGTGTTTTTTTCAAAATACTGTATCATTAAATATTTGGAGTTACGACCTTCGTTATCTGTATTTTTATGTTCTCTAAGAATAGGGTTCACAGCCTTTTCTATACAATTTAAGAAGTCTGTAAAGTTTCAGTAATAGGTATTATATGCTATGCAAATCGACACGGAACAGACATGCATTTAATGGGGAGACCAATAACACAGGTAAATGAAATCTTTAGAGAACTCAAAACTTCATTATAGCTGTTAGTTTCAACCTCTTCCCCCAAAGCCTCTTATCAAAGCCAACAATAAGGAATAAAACTGACTGCTCTGACCTTGTCCTTTGCTTATGTCTTTAGGGGATAATACTACTAGTGAAAACTGAAATGCCTTAAAGATAGGAAACAAATGAGAGGTCAAGAAGCTGGGACAGCATAGAGAGGCTAGGTAAGCAACTGGTAGCTGTGGAGAGGCACAGGACACAGACATCAGCAAATAAAGTAAAACTCTTCTATATTTTATACCAGATTACGCTAAATCCTTTTCACTGTAGATGAAGGGACAAATCAACATGGTAGAATAAAAAGATGCAGGACAAGTTGTTGAGAGGGTAGTAGCAAGGCCAAAGGACAATTTGTTTAATCATGACAAGGGAAATGGACAGTCACTAGAGACCCTTCCAATTCCAAGATTCAGAGGAAAGGCTGAATGTTGGCTTTTGTCGCCCTGGTTCCTTTAGCTGTAGTCACTGATGTTAGACTGTCTTGCTGGGCTAGCTCCATCTGTCACCGAACCAGTCTCAATGGAGGGAGGCACACTAGCAGTTCTGAGACATAAAAAGGATCTCCTACACAGGCAGATGTGCACATGGGTGAGTGTGAGCGAGTGCACACATGCACAGGACCATAGGTGTCAATTCGGCAATCACAGTAACAGGTTTGAGCCCTAATGCCTTTTGGTTATGGGGAGTAAAACCCTAGCCTGTAGCTAATTCTCTGCAGGGAGAGGGAGGTTTTTGATTTTGCTGTCCTGTATTGTATGTCATCCTGTCTGGCATTGCTACCCTGCTCTCACAATGTGATTCTCATGAGTGGGCAGTCATGTGACCCCAAATCACCCCACCACAGGACTGGACAGACTAGCTGATCAGATTCCTTTCTGAGGTTTTTTTTGGTTTTGGAGACAGGGTCCCACTCTATTGCCCAGGCTCCCAGGCTTAAGCAATCTTCCCATCTCAGCCTCCCCAGTAGCTGGGACAACAGGTGTACACCACCACACCTGGATGTTTTTTATTTGTTGTAGAGTGGGGGTAGGGGGGTTCACTATGTTGCCCAGGATGGTCTCAAACCTCTGGGCTCAAGCAATTCTCCCACCTCAGCCTCCCAAAGTGCTGGGATTACAGGTGTGAACCACTGCACCTGGCCCTTTCTGAAATTTGTTATGTGGCAAAAGAGAATCACTAACTGGGTTCTGGGATTACAAACTAAGGATTAAACCAACTAGCCATCACCAGCAATCATCTTTGTGACCTGACAATAAAGCGAACATAGAAAAGAGTAGAGCCCAAGAAGGAGAGAAGACAGTAATCACATTGTTTTGCCTTCTGGATTCTATTAAGAGACACACCAGAAGGAAATCTCTCCTTTGGACTTCCCCAGTATATATTTAAACCAATAAATTCTCCTTTTGTGTGTGTATAGTCTGGTTTGATTGGATTTCTGTCACTTACAACCAAAATAGTTCTAACACATGATTAGAGACCCAAAAGCAGATGATCCATGGACATGAGCTAACTAGCAAGAGGAGTGGTGAGGGAGGGCCAGGAGCAGGGAGCACACCTTTATAAGTGATAGCGACAACTCTTCTTCACAATTCTAGGGAGCTGAATCCCCAACTCAGCCAGTAAGATAACAAAGTTCCAGAAAGTATTTCATCTTCCAGGAGCATCTGTGTTTATGGTCCTTTTCTCGGTCCCAGGAAGAAGGGTGCACAAGCCCAGTCAATAAGGAGAATAAGTAAGAAAGTCTCTCACCATGACAATCTCTTCAGAAAGAGGAGAACAGGACCCAAATTCTCCACCTCCCACTCCCAATTTCATGTTCCTGTTACTCTAAAAACGGCATCACATTTTCAACCTTCTGATAGACAGGAATTTAAATGGTGGATTCCTTATGAAATACCCAACCATCTCCGTTCCCTTCAGCCTACATAATTGTATGTTTTATTTCTGGTCTCTTACTCTCTGCCGCTGAACAATCTTGGTATTCTAAATCTCATCTGCTCCTGCTGCCTATCCTTTACCTGAAGTTATAATCCCCTGTTTGTGACATCATAATCACCTAGCCAGCAGAGTGTTGTTGCTTCAGGTGAGGAATAAAGCAGCAGGGGCAGATGAGCTCTTAGAAACAAAGATCCTAATTTCTTACACCAAGGGACATCATTCACTAAGTCTATTTGGCTTTACAGATTATACTCTCTCAGAGTCCCACAGTTATACATGAATGCTACACAAGCACCCCTGTAAAATTTGCTAGTTTGTCCAAACATGGGGGTGAGGCTGAGGCAGGGACACAGCAAATGTCTCTCAGGTGTCACTCAAAATAATTGTTAGCATCCACTAACAGGGAAACACTCACTGGAAAGAATAAAATATCTTCAGAGCCATCCCTATTAGGCCAAACTTAACAAGAATTTGCACCAGACAGTGGCTGTGGCAGTCACTAATGAAAGTCCCTCCAACCTGGAGATACGCCAATCCATAAAAGATGGATAGTTTATCTGCAGTCTTTGGTATGAGCGCTTTCATATTTTATCTAACAGGGCAAACTGTCTTCTTGTCTTCTCATTGTCACTATTTTCTTTTTCTTTCCTTTTTGTCCAAAGCTCTTAAAAAAAAAAAAAAAAAAAAAACCAGAACCAAACCAAACAAAACAAAAAAGAAAAAAAGAGAGGGTGTAACATAGCAAAATATGGTCTCATTAATCACTTGAGAGAGATACAAGTTAACATATCTCTACCAGTAGATAAAATACATTTTCTGTTTTGTCAATATTAGACATGGAGCAAACCCTTAGCAGAGGTAATGGGATGATCACAATGCTTATTGTTCAATTTAAAGTTGAAGAGTTTTTTGTGCAGCCAAGCCTAGGAGTGGGCAGCAAGTTCTTCATCTCTTTTGAGATTTTAAATGCTGATTATCTATCTATCTATCTATCTGTCTAAGTTAGAGACAGGGTCTCACTCTGTCACCCAAGCTGGAGTGCAGTGGAATGACCACAGTACACTGTAATTTTGAATTCCTGGGCTCAAGTAATCCTCCCACTTTGGCCTCCCAAGTAGCTGGGAACAGGTGCCTGCTACCACACCGGTTAATTTTTTAAAACATTCTTTGTAGAGACTAGATCTCCCTATGGTGCCCAGGCTGTTCTTGAATCCTGGCCTCATGTGATCCTCCTGCCTCAGCCTCCCAAAGTGCTGAGATACGGCCAAGAAATATTAATTATAAATTACTTATCCTTGGAAAGAACTACTGACATGTACTCAAACTTATCTTCAATTTTCCCAGAAGGCTCCATGTTTTCATCAACTTACAAGTTTCTTTAAAATTCTTACTGGTGTCTGCCCACAGCAAGTACTTAAAAGAGTTGTTAGCTACTGGCAAGAGAGCCAACCCTATGAGGTCAAGCGGCCATCCTAGAAATACACTATGGCAGGAAGATCCCAGTGAGAAAGAACAAATGATTAGGTAAAATTCCATCACTATTTCAGGAAAAAGCAGCTCATGAGGCAGCATCATTTTCTTCATTTGTAAAGGGTAGTGATTGATATTGCTATGATTTGTAACTGTCTTTGAAAGGTTTAATGAAAGTAGCATAACCGCTTTGAGTATTTATTTTCATTATCAAGACAGTCACGTGAATACCTACTAGGTGAGATGCATGCTCACTGGATCAGAAAGAAAACTGCATTCTCATTGGATCACAGGGTGCCTGGCTATGAGCATTGGGGGCACAGCACAGAGCACTTATAATCAATCACTTCATACTAACTAGTGTAGTTCCTGGCATGCAGAGAACGCACCAAAAGTTAATTGTAAAGAATGAATAAATAATGAAGGGAAGAATTACATGGACTCTCTGAAATTGCTAGAAATTATCTGTGTTCATTTGTAGCTTGTCTCCCTACTGGACCATAACCCCATGAAAGAAGATACGTCATCTGACTTATCTAGTGTCTAAAACATTATCCAACTTAGTAACTTATTTTTGAAATAAATGAATATGTGCATGAAAAATATTTTTTAGAGAAACGAACGTCATGTATTCAACTTTGACCTGTTTTAATATAATATACTTATGTGTGGAAGTACAAATTGGATAAGTTTAAAAGACAGGATGAACTCATATCAGTACATTCAAATCTTCAATGATAAGAACACATCTTTTTTTCTTTCCTATAGTGCCCGGCTAGATCTTGTGCTGTACAATTGCTCAGGATGTAGTTACAAACCAAGACAATTTAAGAAGGAATCAGAGAAAAAGAGATTTACTTTTATTTTTCCTTTCTATTGATAAGAGGTCAGATAAAATATACATTTTATAAAATAAATACAGAGCACAATGTGTGGAAAATTTAAAATGAGTAAAATATTTTAGGGACAGTCAGAATTCTTAAATTAAGAAGGGTTAATATATTAAAAAATGAGAATATTTATCATTTGAATGTAGTCCAAATTAGAAAACAACAGAGAGAGAGACAGAGACAGAGACAGAGACAGAGACAGACAGAAAGGGGGAGGGAAGGCTATTTTACTTCTACTTAGCAAAGGATCAAAATAAACATGTTTGCAATGTCTCTGCAACAAAATTCAAGGTGTACACATGTAAACAAGAAACAATACAATTAGTGGGCTATTTATTTACCAGTATTTTTTCCACAGTTGGCTTTAAAATGATCTATCTAGGTTTACCTGGCACAATACTTTTAATCTAATTAATCTCTGTGAAGCCATATTTATTTATAAGTTAAAAGGACAACAACCCCATTACCATATTCCATACAAAGTTTTCAATTTACATGTTTCAACCACAAACATATTAATTCAGTGCTACATTAAACTACAAAGAATTAACAACTTGTTTGTATGCTGATGAGGAAATACTTTAAAACAGGACTAGGGTTGCATAAACTTCCTATATCTCATTTATTTTTAAAGATCAATTAAATATCCTCTTTGAGTGTGCTTCCATAAAATAATTACTTCTAGATTCTAGAGCACAGAGAAACAGATGAGCCTCATGAATTTCAATTTTAAGTCCCCTTTCTGTACTTGTTTGCAAGTAGAGATGACCCCTGGACCACATTTTTACACTGCTTTTGTCAGCCATGGTGAATCCAATCTGACACATTCAAGTTCAAGTAAGTTGAGGACCAGGACTAAGCTTAGCCCACATCTACAATCTTTGCTTTTTTTCCCAGCTGGGATCGGCTAGTTCTCAAGAAGGAAGCGGACAAAAGCTAGGCCAAACGAAGAAATGGGGCTGAAGACCTGACTGTCCATAGGCTGATGGTGCACAGAGAGTGATGCTAAGCAGCTCTGAAAATGACGCTGCTTAGTTGGTGGCTTAAAACAAACAAACATCAAAATAGACTTAGCCATGCCATATTGGCCACTATCGAGTAATCGCTGTGATCATATATTTCATAATACTACCAGAACTACCAGGTTCCAAAACATATCTCATAGTGCATCATAGGTCTTTCATTCCAAATGGTTCTGAACTATTACATATTTTCCTTTTGATTAGACTTTTAAAAGGTGATTTCTTCCAACTTACCCTCTTTCCATAGGCTGAACAATTCAACTGTCCCCATATGAAAAAACTTCCTGCTTCTACATACTGAAATTTAATTTAGTGACTTGAGAACACTTTCCTAATTAATCAACTTTCTTTAACCCTAACTAGAGGATATTTATGATATCTCCAAGCTTCAAACTAAAGCAATCTTGTAATACATTCATTTTTATTCTACAGTTTATTAATAAAAATATCAAACATTAAGATTTAGAATAGATTCTTTATAGGACTTCATTAAACACCTCTTCCTTACTTGAAATTTCTCTGCATTTGGTTTTCCTTGGCCAATTCCTGGCCCATTTTGGAACAAAACTTATGTAATCCAATGTTGTTCTATTTTTTGTGTATGTCCTAAAATAAACATTGTGCAGACTCTTCAATATCTACATAAAACAGATCTGTATAAAAATAAAATGACTTATATGAGGCCTTTACAAATTACCACATTTAAAGTGGAGAAGAGAAATTAATTCATTGTAGAGTACTTTATGGTTTCTGTGATCACTTATTATACGTCTAGTCCTTTCAGGCGTAATTTCTAATGCTTAAGGGATGTTGAAAGAAATAATAATCTGTAATACACAAACACATGAATACATGTGGGATTTTTAAACAATCATAATAAATCCATGATGTCAATGAACGTTTGGCATGAAAATAATATAAGGCTTAATATTTTGCATTCAAGTAAAAGTACTATTCGGTTCCATATAAGAGACAAATATACCGAACATGAATTTCTCTAACTGTTCTTTTTAATATATAAGACATTTCATAGACAATATTTCTTTTGTTTCTTTTTCTCATAAGGCCTAGATTATGGTTAATATCTCATGATACCAAAAGTAATACTGCAACAGATATTAAAGCATTTTTTCAGCCACTTATTCTATAAAATATTAATTGCAAGCCTGTGCATGTGCTGTATATATAGGAGATTAGGTAACTGAGTTCCTGCTCAGTTCCAAATCAATAAAAGATAATATGCACAGCATCAATCATCACTCACTCTTCCTTTAGTGGAAGATTTTTAAAACATGTATTTAAGCACTCATGGAGACAACACAAGCTAGGGAAGATGTGAATACTACTTACCTAGGAAGGACAGGTTTTTCTCTAGAAGCATGTCTCTCAGCAGGACTTCATGCTCATGACCAATGGCACTGGAAGTTTCAGTTAAGGGGTAACACAGGCGGAATTATACCAGCAGGAAATGCTAATATCAGGTCTATACTTTGAGATGAAATGAAAAACTGAGGTGGTTTTAGCAGCCATTTTCACCCTTAGTCCACAACTTTGAGGAATGAAATCTCTATACACATCCCCTTATTTAAACAATTTGACAGCATTTTTCTATAATTTTTTAAAACTCTTTTTCTTTTTTCTAGAGACAGGGTCTTGTTCTGTTGCCCAGGCTGGAGTATACTGGCACAATCATAGCTCACTATAACCTTGAACTCGTGGGTTCAAGTAATCCTCTCACCTCAGCCTCCTAAGTAGCAGGGACTACAGAGGTGTACCACCATGTCTGGCTAAATTTTTTTTTTTTTTTTTTTTTTTTAAGAGACAGAATCTCACTATGTTGCCCTGGCTGGTCTCAAACTCCTGGGCTGAAGTGATTATCTTGCCTCAGTCTCCCAAAGTGCTGGGATTACAGGTGTGAGCCACTGTGTTCTGCTCTTTCTATAATTTTTGTATATACATTTTGGCAAACAAAGATTTTAAATGGATGTGTACCTTATTTTGAAAAGAAGGAGAGTCATTTAAATGTACCTTAATCTGTGTTAAAAATCTTTCAATTGGGTTGGGCAAGGTGGCTTGTGCCTGTAAGTCCTGCCACTCCAGAGGCTGAGGTGGAAGGATCACTTTAGGCCTGCTGGGCAAGGTAGCAAGGCCCCCATCTCTTAAAAAAATTATACAAAGTTTTAAAAAATTAAAATCCCTCAACTTGACTTAGCACACATTTGTTAAGCACTTACTAGGTACAGTAAAGAATACTAGCCAGCCTTTGTCCTAGAAGAATTCCTAATCTTAGAGAGTTCTGTAAAACTTCTGTGAATTCACATTTGTCATCAAGCTAACATTTAGAAACTTCTTTCACTTCCAATCAACTGTTGTTGAACTTTCGCAACTTGCAAGCCAAACAAGTGACTTGTTAAGAATACATGTAATCTGCAGGAAAGACATCTTAGTAAAGAGTTGTGGATTAGGGTGTGGGTATAGAGGGTATTTCAAAAGTCTTCTTCTCGTGTATGTGTACATACATATATGTACATAAATAGATATACATATGAATATCTATTTTTCAGTGCTTACTATGTGTTAGACACTGTGTTAAGTGCTTTTAAGTAGGTTATTTGATCCTCACAAATACTTATTTTACAGATGAGAAAGCCGAGGCTTAGAAAGAAACCTGTGTAGGGCTTACAGTCAATGAGTGGCAAAGAAAATAACAACAAAATCTCTGCCAAGTCTATGTTTATGACCTCCATATAGCTTCTCAAAAAGTATTAAAATTATGTAATAATTGATAATAGCTAATATTTCTTAAATATCATTCATGAAGCCTTTGTGCTAAATACGTTGAGATACCATCTTAGAATAGCCTCATAGGTACATACTATTATTAGTCACCCCCCTTTTTTTTGAGATGGAGTCACTCCCGATTTTTTTTTTCCTTGGCTCACTGTACCCTCTCCCACCTGAGTTCAATCAATTCTTCCTTCGGCCTCAGCCTCCCGAGTAGGTAGGATGACAAGTGTCTGCCATCATGCCTGGCTAATTTTTTTGTTTTTAGTAGATACCAGGGTTTCACCATGTAGGCCAGGCTGGTCTCAAACTTCCAACCTCAAGTGACCTGTCCATCTAGCCTCCCTAAGTGGTGGGATTACAGGTGTGAGCCACAACACCCAGCCTATTAGACACATTTTTACAATTAAGGAAAGTAAGGTTCGGTAAGGCTGGGGAATTTGCTGAAGGTCCCATGGCTGGTAAATAATGAAATCATGAGTGGAACATGGAAGTCTGGTGTATTTTCCAAACAGATGAGATTGCACAAAGTCTAAAAAGAATGCTATCCTACTCTAATATTTCAAATGAGTCAAAAGCATTTGGTAATAAATATGTGAATCATCACCTTCACTGATAATACTAACCTGGTCATGTCACTCCTTGGCTTACTAGAGAAGCTGATTCTGATCATGTACTACCTGAGTTCAACTTAAATAAAACTTCTATGTTATTGGTAAAAACAACAAAAAAATTCTAGAGAATTATCTCGCATTTTTTTTTTAACACATGCAGGTGACTATCGTTTAAATCTTAGAATTCAAGAGATGTGACCATTTATGTTTCAGCCAAACAGGCCCTAAGTCATCATTATTGCCTTTTCCTCCAGTTGTCCTCTACCCTCCAATGCACATGGCTGTGCTTTTAAAACTTCTAAGGAGAAACAGAATAAAGGAAACACATTTTTAAATCACAAAATTTCACACATTTTCAGATTCCATTGAAGACATTTGACGAATAACTCTCAATGGTCTCTCATTACTAGGGACATCCCACATTTTAGAACTAAATTATTTACTTCTATTCCACATAAATGTGCTCTCATTTTTATTGTTGTAAATTATTTACATCTAAAATGTTGAATCATGAAACCGAGGTTTCTGATGGTACAGAAATGAAACCCACAGCATCTGAAGCTTCCTGTATCATTATCTTTCCCTCCTTCACAGTTTATGCTTTCGTCTAATAGCTGTGTCCTGGAGTCATACTTTGGAAAGTTGAGGTGGCTCATTTCTCACATTTTTTTCCTTGGTGAGTATGAATTGTGGTGGGAAAGGTGTAGGTAGGCATGGCTGCATAGGGAGAAATACAGTAGATTTTTTTTTAAAAAAAAAAAGAAAGCACAATGATAATGTATATACACTTTGCTAACTGTGCTTTTTATAGTGTCTTACTAGTAAAGGGCCAATTTACTATATTCTACTTACACAAATACAACATTTTCATAAGGCACTAAGAAGGTTTAGCACCTATCTTATTTACCGAATGTGTGCTTTCTTTCTCACAGCATGATGTAATTTACTAAGTAAGCAATGTAAATATTACTGAATTATCAGAAAAACACACAAACAGCACATTTACTCACATGGAAAACCAGTAATTTTTATTCAGTGTGAAATAAAATAATTATTGCTGATCAGTCTAGGAAATATCTATGCAAGTGCATTTAGACATTATATGAAACTGCTATTACTTCGATGCAAAGACAGAATCAGCTTCTCTGTAAACTTCCAGCCTGTTTTGTTTTGCATGATAAAAGCAATCACCAATTTGAAATTTTGGACAGGTATGTTTCTTAATTATGCTTTGCTTGATATAAACATATATAAAATGCAAAGTCTAGAAAATAAAACATAAAATCTGTAGTTTTACTGGCAACAGACATAATGAAACTGCAAAAATTATAATCTACTTGGTGAATGTAATTTACAGACATATGTCATTATCTTTATCAATTGAAATCATGTACTACATTAAATTCTACTGGCAATAACACAGCCAGAAAAGGAAAGTGAATGATGGCAAAAATGTAAGGAAAATACTCCAAACAGAATTTATAATGCTCTATAAGCAAAAACACTTAGACTTTGTCTATAATAATACCTATTATTGATGTATGGCAGTGACCATGGGCAAAACTTGTAAATAACCTCACAAGTCATTTTCTTCGCCAGCCATACAGCAATCTAGTTTCCCGTAAGCATCTCAACTATTACTGAAAAAATAGCCTCCTGGCATTTACAAAGCAGTTGACTTCATACTTTAGTCCATGCATACATAATTAGATAGTTATATTTAAAATCAATATGCAATCCTTCAAAAGACATTAGGCTTTTAAAACCTTAACTTTAAATTGATTTTTAACTATTTTATGTGCTTTAAAATTAACATGTAATTCAACCCCAGATACTCTGAGATGGTGTTAGTTGTTATATGAATGTGCTAAACTTTATCAGTGTAGCAACATGAGGTTGGCACTCCTACAATTTCTATCACTATCATTAATTTTACACTGAATACAGAAGTACAATTTCACTTCGGTTTAATAAAAGCTGACCTTGGGATAATGCTGTGTTTTTACTAATTTAAGCTAGACTGGAGAAACAGACTTGGAGGATAAATACATAAAGGTCTGTATTTCCAATGCTGAATATTCTTGTAAGAGGGCTCTGTTAAAAGACTGTTTATCAAAGATTACTTATATAAGCATGATTTTCTTATTAAACATGTTACTGACTCTAAGCCTTTGTGAAATAAAGTGGAATATAAACGTATACATGTACACGATTTGACTAGTAGGAGTTTCCAGCAAAAGTCTCCTGACTGGCAATTACTGAGTCACAATTAGTCACAGTGCCATCCACGCTAACATAATCCATACCAGGAGGGACATGTTTATATTATTAAGAGGAGTGAAATTCATCGACTCATATAGAAATTATTCTCAAAAAAAGTCCTCATTATTTACCATTTAAATAGCTCTTTTATTTGAAGATTATCAAAAAACTCTGTTGCCACAGTACTACTCAATTTATTGATTAATAACATCCTACTTCATGAAGTAGTTACTGTCTGCCCAATCCTATTTTAAAAAGTAAACATTCACTCTTTAGTAATCTCCATGTCTTTAATGAAAAATGACTGGACATCTGTTTTCACAACCTTAAATTTATGCCAGGAGGAAAAGTTACCTTGATTTCTCTAAAAATGTTTATTAGGACTCCAAATGCCAGCTCAGATTCTAATCAGCATTTAAGCACTAAGAATCTATTGCCTTTAACATGTGATGTCTCTGGAAGCATTTTAATCACAACCTCTTTTCACTCCAAGCTCTAAATTTATTCGAGTAAATTCAACAAAATTTGGCTCATTTTAAATGGAAATTTGTTATATTTTTTTTAAATGTTCATTGGGATGGTTAGATACATTCCAAGACATTACGTTACCTGCTTAATGACTCTGTACCTTTAAACTCACTGAAAACCAAGCAGTTTGAAATAAGCATGCGAATATGTAACTGATGAACTGACATCTTCCTGTGGTCTGATATTCCTTAAGCTGTAGAAAAGAATGGTCTGTAGTGACCCTCCAGTTGATTGAATGTAAAATAGAAGAGTATGAAATGTGTTTTGTGAAGCAGAACTTTATGTCAGGTTAAAGCTAGACACATCTCCACTGAGTCTAAGCTCGTCAATTGTGCACCTAAAATTTTATGGGAAAGGATACTGCTTGATGCAGTCCACCAGTGGTCCATAACAGCAGTCGTTCACAATGCACTGCAGACAAATAAGAAAAGGGGTCTGGGGTGGGGCAACTACAAAAACTATTACAGTAAACAGTAACCTAAAAGCAGTAATTACTTTCCTCCCTCCACCACCCCCCAAAAAAGAAAGCTATCAGAAGGCTGTTCAGATTTAATCACAGAAAACAAAAATTGCATGCTTTTTATTCACTATAAAAGCAAGCTATTAAAAAGTGAAATGCTCTTCTCGCAAATATTGCATTGCCATTTATGGTGCACCCTGACCTCAGTGATAGTTTATGATGACAGTAATTAAATGAGGTTTAAAATCCTTTACTCTGCTAGGCAGATAACAGCATTGCCACTGAAAATAGACAGCTGTGATTAATACCTGATAGACCTGATTTGCTAGAACTCCATCTGGAATCTGAGAAGGGTCCCGTAGCATACTATTTATAACAGACTTGGAGGCTGTAGAAGAAAAGAGATGAACTGTTAGCAGATAGTCAACATACTTTTAATGCAACATGAGAAGTGACATATACCTACATATACACAAACCATGAAAACAAAAATATGACTGGCATTAATCATTTTTTTCCCTTTTCTATAATCTAACAGAAGCTTTTAATTAGACCATTTTGCCAAGTTTATAAGCCACAGTGCCAGATTTGACAATGACCTAATTTTTCCAAGGTAAATTAAGAAGTACAGACCTAAAGCAGATGTCTCTTTTGTAGATAAATTAGCTTAGCAAAAGCCCATTTGGGGGAAAAATAAATCAGAAAAGAAAATATTTACCTTTTGCAGGTAGGTATTTTATAACTAAGCATATGTATATGAAGACAGGTCAGATTCAAAGACTTCAATGATACCAATGAAAATGACTTTCAGCCAAAAAAGAATCTTCTAATTTTAAACCTTTCTAAAATAATTCTCATCAACTGTCATAAAATCCTATCTCCATTCCACAAGTGAGGAAAGTAGGTAAAATTGCCTGAATTGAGAGAATCTTAAATAAGGAAAATATACACAGAGAGACCCACATACAAATTTTCTACCCAAAATATGCCTCAACTTGCAAATTAAGTTGAACCCCAAGGGAACTGCTACAGAAGAAGAGGGGGCAATAAGAGAGGCATCTGATAAAGGTGACATCCTTTGAAAAGCAAGGTAGGAGATCTTGACCTCACTGCTCACTAGGCATGTGACAGCCACAGTAGCCAGAATTCCTTTTAATGTACGGGAGATGGGCAGGTCTCTAGGCTGAAGCTAAGTCAGGTGCTGCCTAGGAACTGATTCTTTCAAGTCCTCCAGTGGAACTATTCACCACAATTTAGCAAAATGGCCTATGGTCTGGTTCACACAAGCACAAACTAAAATGCGTACTGAATAATTATCTAATTAATAAAATACAGACCACAGATATACATCATTCAAGTTCTGAGACAATATGGGGTCCAACTTGTTTATTTTGTTTAAGAGTATGTTCTTTATCAAGCTCTATACTATAAGAACACTGACACATAAGATAAATGTTAGTAAATACTGTGGAAATAAATAAGGAAATTATATTTTATTCACTTAAGAATAGTATTGAGTCTGCAAAGAAAAAAATGAAGTACAATTATTTTAATTACTGCCCACTCTTAGTCATATAACCGCACACTTATAGCAACGCTGATGTACTTAGCCATTTATGAACATGTGTTTGCACTGTAGATGAAAAGGCCATATGTAATCTCCAAAAGAGCATCACCCAGCTATCTGATCCAGCCCTGTCTCTACAACTATCTCTGCAACCTTGGCAAGTTACATAGCTTCCCATGTTCAATGCCCATTGCTATCTGTAGAAAGTGAAAATATTATTTAAGCTGACTATCTAAATAAAGTGTTCTTGTGTGGTCTCTAGGGGAAACAACTACAGCAGTATTTTGCTAAGTTTAAGTAATAGTAAGAATCAAATCAGACCTGGGCATTTACTTCATATAAACCATAGGGTTGGACTCAATTATTTCCGAAAATGATTACCATTGATAAGTGGTACAAATATTGGGAATAGGAAGCAGGGAATCATCGTCTTAGAAAAGAAAAGATTATAGCAGCAATAGTATTAAAAATCATATGCCTGGTAAACTCGGTTTTCCCAGGCCTGAGAAATTCTAAGGACTGGCCAGTCAGAGGGGTCCTAAGCAGTGCCCACAGCTCTCATCACCTTCTCTGAGGAAGCTCTCTCTGGCCTGCCACTCGAGTCACCACATGGTAATGGCAGACACATTCTTTTATGTTGTCCATAATGCCAGCAGAGGCTCAAGGAAATAGTAGCACCTTACCTGTATGGACCCGGTCATGGTAAATGGCAATTCTCATACCCGTATGAGGAAGAGCTCACTAATACATAAGTGGCCATGACTAATAATGCTATCCTATAAAAATTACAGACCTCAAACCAAACTATATGCAAGCTCATCGCTAAAATCATAAAACAAAAGCTCTTTTTTTAAAAAAGAAAAGGGACAATGCTCTGGGACATAAGAAAAGTAGGTCATTTATTTTCAGCCAAAAAGGGAAATATCAAAAGAAAAAAGAAACTGATGATATAATTTTCTTCACAATATAAATTTTAGAAGAGTGGTATACTTATCAGGATTAAGAATCATAGGCAATACACTTAAAAAAATTGAATATGTTGAATAAATCCTATTCAAATGAAAGGAAACTTGCCAGAGGAAGTCAGTTGTTTTAAATGTAATACTAGTATAAAGCATACATTGAGTCCACATTCATTTTAACTTCAACAAAAAGTCTTTTCTCTTCTTGCAATCCACCATTTTTTTTTAGAGCAAGAGAGAATGTTCTTCTACGAAGTCAATGCCTGTGCTGCAGACCCAAGATGTATCTGCCAAACACACAGCAATTTCCATTCAGGCTTCATGAAAGTGTGTTGGTGTTTCAAATCAAGCCAGAGAGTGTAAACCTACTTCCTTCTACACACATATTCTGAAGTTTAGGAACTGCCCGCTCAACAGAAATGAATAGTAACATCAACCAGGTAAGTAAATGTGATTTGACAACCTTGCCATAGCCAGGACTAAGATGCCTCAAGAAAGCCTGTGTCTTTTATGGAAGCTGTTCCTAGACCAGCTCTGGCGAATTTATATCTGGCTTTTTTCACCGTACATGGACAGGATTCCTGTTCTCCTCAAACTTTGCTAGAGGGATTCATTTATTCTGTTGATTTCACAGTTTGCCTCTGCCACTTTAGGATTACAATGGACAGGATTACAATTTTCTACAAAGCATGTATAAAGCAGAAATGAATGAGTCACTTGCAGCTAGATTCACAAGAAAAGGAGACACTTGGTACCTGTTAAAGCATGCTACATCAGACAGGGAATAAATAGGCAATGCCTGGACTAAGGCATACCACCTAAGATTATGATCTTTTCATTGCGAAGTATTTGTAACATGAAGAACTAATATAAAAAACATCTATGCACTCACCACCCTGACCTAACTTCCAAATCTGCAATAAATTTGTTTTAGTCTCATATTAATTTGTATAAACTTTTTAAAAAAAATGTCTCAGTCTTGCTAAAGGTTGGTTTTAGTATTTTCATGAGACCAAACATTGGCTCTGTCGCTCCTCTTTACTGTACCTTTTCTTCTAATTTCACTTAATTTATCCTTTTTCATCATTATTTCCTGGTTCCCACTTTGAGTTTGCTACATTATTCTTTTACTATTTTTATAGAATTCATTTTCAATTTTTTATTTTGAAATACATTTTCCAAGGCTATAATCATTCCTCTAAATTTTGCTTCAGCTACAAGCTAGAATTTTGTTGTCATTTATTTATAGTTTTTAGTTTCCATGATTTCATCTTTGATCCAAAAATTATTTAAAAACATGGATTTCTGCTGTTTCTAATTTATGATGTTTATACTAATATGGGTTGTTTTACTTTCTGTTTTTATATGTAATCATTTTTGTTAATGTTGTATATGTCTTCAAAAAATTGAAGTTCCTAGTTTTGGGCTGCAAGGTTTAGATACGTCTAGCAGGTTAAGATTTTAATTGTATTTTCCAAATCTTCTGTATCTTTGTTATTTTTTTTCAACTACATATTAAATAATCATCTACTACTACTGCAGAGGTGTCGGTTTCTCCTTATAATTCTGCCAATGTTTTCTTTCTGTATTTGGAGACGACACTATTGGGTGCCTGCACTCTCACTTGTTATACATGGACTTCTTGGTAAGTATGTCTTTTGGTAAAGTCAAGACTTTCTTTAATAAAGGTTTTCTCTGAAGTTTAATGCTATCTAGTAATAATATTTCTGCAACACTTTTCTTTTGGATAGGATCTGCCTCACATATCTGGTGTTCCATTTCTTTTTGTTGTTGTTATTAGTTTTTCTAACATTAATTTTTATTGTACTAATTTCCCCATTTCTTTACTACAAACTTTATTGTGTCATTATGTCTTAGGAATGATTCATAAATAGTATTTTGTTAGATTTTCTAAAATCAAATTTGAAAATCTATGCTTTTTTAAAAATGTGAATTTAACTTGTTTACATTCATTACAACGGATACATTCAGACTTATTTTTACTCTCTTATTGCCTGTGTTCTGCTAATCTTTCCTTCTCCTCTTTTTTCCCTACCTTCTAGTTAATTAAGTTTTCTTTATTCTCCTTTTATTCTTATTCTCTTGGAAATAATACATCCTACATTTATCCCTCCCTCTTTTCCTTCCTTTCCTCCCTTCTTTTCTTCCTCCCTCCCTCCCTTCCACCTTCCCTTCCTTCCTTCCTTGCAATTTACCTGCCTCGGCCTCCCAAATTATAAGTGTGAGCCACTATTTCTGGCTTCTACAATGACTTCTTTAGCTGTTTTCTCAAAAAAATGTTTAAACTGAATCAGTATCTAATCTTTAACAGTAACATCTTTGTTGTTTTACATATAAATAACTTGAAACACATTCACTCCAATCAGGAAGCCTCCCTTTAATACGTCATTCAGCTAATGAGCTTCTCAATAACTTTTAAAATATATATATGGAAATGAAGTAACAGTCTGTTTTTTTTTTTTACTCACTATCAGCCTCCATATTACTGTGTCTGTTACTTTTGTTCAACAATCTTGTTTGTTAACACAATTTCCCAATTAGTCTCTACAATGTTAAATTTTATGTGTAAACTTGACTGGGCCATGGGGTGCCCAGATATTTGGTCATATATTCTTTTTATTTTTTTTGGAAGGGTCTTGCTCTGTTGCCCAGGATGGAGTGCAGTGGTGTGATCTCAACTTACTGTAGCCTCAACCTCCTGGGCTCAATATATCCTCCCACCTCAGTCTCTCTGGCAGCTGGGACTACAAGTGCATGTCACCAGACCCAGCTAATTTTTGTATTTTTTTGTAAAGACAGGGTTTTTCCATGTGGCTTTGAACTCTTGTGCTCAAGCAA